AGCCACACCTCCACCTGGCTGTAGGTCACACCTCCACCTGTCTGTAGACCACACCTCCACCTGTCTGTAGGCCACACCTCCACCTGGCTGTAGACCACACCTCCACCTGGCTATAGGCCACACCTCCACCTGGCTGTAGACCACACCTCCACCTGGCTATAGGCCACACCTCCACCTATGTTTAAACACGGAGAGCTGAGAAGAAACAGAACCGTGCTTTGGTCCCGTCAGAACCACGTGACCGTCCTGTGTGACTCCATGTTGCTGTTCATGCATGTTGCTGCTGATCACACCTGCTCAGGTATCTCTGACCTGCTTCCTCCTCCTCAGGATCTTCCTCACTCCATCAGCGTGATCCTGGGCTTGGACTCTCAGCCAAGCGGCACCGACCCAACGGGTTCTGGAGCGGTTTCCAGAGCGGCTCAGCGACAGGACGGTTGCTCCAACGGACACTTGAGAGAAACCAGCTCTCAGCTCAGCTGCAAAGTTGCCTTCATATCGTAGTAAAAACAGAGACTGACCAGCGTCAGCAGGCGGCGCCAGAGAGACGCCACGCCGCCCAGAACCGACGGACAGACGAAGAAGAAAATGTACAAAGAATCAAGATTATTCAGAATCTTATTTTTGTTACTCTTGTACCATATTGTCTCTGAGTCAGCCATTCCTCCTGAAGATGTTAAAGCCTCATTCAGATGAACAGGGAGTCTGGTGACTCGTGGTATTACCTCTGATCCGTCAGAACAAACCTCCAGAACTCCACTCAGAGTCCTTCTGATTCCACGTTTCCTACCGTTTCACAGTAATCAGTGAACATCACACAGTTTAATCTGGGTTATTCTCAACTGAACCTATAAACCATAAACGTCTTTAAACTGCCAACAGTCCAGAACTGCTCCATTTACAGACAGAACCGATGCAGATGAACAGCAGGTCTTTGTGTCAGAGAAACTGGAACCAGGACATATTTAGATTTTTTAGCATTAAAACTGAAACGTCAGTTTTTCCTGCAGCAGCTTTGAGCAGTTCAACCCTCCGTCTGCCTCTCGGTCTGTTCCAGCTTCACCGCAGCTACACGGTGAGAAGAACTCAGAGCTTCTGGTTCACATTTGACGCATATCTTTGAGGAACAAACATTCAAACTGCAGCTTTCAGTAAAGGTCACAGAAGTGGATCTTTGAATCCTTGCAGACGTCTGAATGAGGCTTTATTTGAGGTTTTATTTAACGTTCAGTCCAGCCGGAGGTTTAATGTCGGAGTTTAGCTGCAGCTAAACTGTGAGTCTCCGGGTGGTGTTTCAGGCTGAAGCTGCTGAGTTTGTGTTTTTCCTTTTGAAGCTGACGAAGCGACGCGAGTTTCTGCAGCAGTTTTCTTACTGAGAGTTCAGATGATTGGTGAAGTAAAGCTTTATCAGCCTGGAGTCTCATCAGCTGAGACCTGAAGGTCACATGGTGGTTCTTCTCTCTGCTGGGAGCCACTGATGGAGACGAACCTGCTGACGTTACTGATTGATCTGCTGCTTATTTCTGTTTGAACAATGATGGTCTGTAAGAGCACAATGGTGTTTTTGAAACGGTGAATACACCAAACCGACCATCATTGTGGTTCATTCAGAGACAACATCCTTGTCAACAGAAAACAACAAATCTCAGCAAACGTTTGACGTTTTTGCTTCATTGAATATTTAAATGTTTGAATTTTTGCAGCTCTGAATTTTGTATTCATATAAAATTCTGCTTTTTGTACACGTAATGCACATCAAGTATTCAGTTTAAAGTAGAAGAAAAATGTGACGAAGCAGCAAATCTCCACCAACGGGAAGCAGATCGGTGTTTGGACTGTTTTCATGTTAGAAACCAAAGTTTTGTTGCGCTAAGCTCAGTGGCTGTAGGAGGCTCAGAGTAGATCCATGTGAGACGCAAAACCTGATCAGAAAGAGAAACATCTGCTGATTTAACTCTCCGTAAGAAAACTGTTGGTTCTCCAGCATAGAACCTGTGTGCTGAGGGAGGTTCTGCAGCTGGGTTCTCTTTGGTTTGGTGAAGCTCCAAATGTGTCTGCTGCAGGTTTAACTTTGTGATTTCAGCTCTTTTCATGTAATCGATCAATCCAACACTTTGGGCAATAAAAATGTTTCAGGAGCCTTTTTTCTGTCGTGATCAACAAACTGCAGCCGCACTGGTCCATGCTTTGGTCACAGATCTGCTAGAACTGAAAAAAGTTCTTCCCAATCCGTCTTCTGAATGTTCACCAGACAAACCTTATAAAATAAATCAACCTGGATGAAATATCAGCAGGTATCAGGTGGTGGGCTGCTCGTTCCACCGGCAGGGGGCGGGAGTGCAGCTCACAGCAGTTTCCGGCCTCCATCGAAACACTAAAAACAGCCGTAGAAGAAGAAGCAGAAGAAGAAGGTTTGAAACAGCGCGCGGCCTGCTGTCAGACAAGATGGCGGCCCTGGAGCGGAGCTTCATCGAGATCTGCGGCTTCGAGAGAGAAGCAGCCCGGAAGGGCCGAGAGGTGACCGTGGACCTCGGTAAGACCACCGACCACCGGCCCGTTATCTGCTCCGCCTTGCTGTCTGCCTGTCTGTCAGCGCCGTGCTAACGCCGGCTAACAGGCTAGTGGCTGCTAACAGGCTAGCGGCTGCTAGCAGCGCGGACACGCGGCGGTAACTTTAGCCGGGCGGTGTTGGTCTGTCTGCGGCCTCACAGGGCCTCGTGAACGGTGTCAAGGGGCTGAAAACACCTCGAACCTTAACCTTGTGAATGTCTCTTGACCAGGCAGCTAACGGTACCTCCGGACTCTGTAGCGTCAGTTAGCCGGTCAGCTAGCCGGTCAGTCAGCTAGTCACCTGCAGCGGGTCACTCACCCGTCAGAGCCAAACCAATGAGGACTGATGACACAGAAACGTCGTCACTGTTGACTTTATCAGCTCCGTGTGTTTATCTAAAGCGACCTCAGACCAAACTGTCAAAATCCTCTATTTCAAGGTGATGCGCATGATTGTGTAGAAAACTCTTAACTTCTAGTAAACAGTCGCTCCAGAAAAAACGGAGAGATGAGAACGGGACGAGCCGGTGCACATCAGCAGGATGTCGGCTGGCTGACCTCTGAGTGAACTCTGGTTCTCTTAATGAGCGTCTCCTGACTTCTGGAAACCTGTTACTAGAAATCAGTGTCCAAACTTTCAGGTGTCACTGTCTTTATTTCAGCTTTAGTCAGATCAGATCAAAAACTTAAACTGATCAATTAGGTTATTAGCTTTGACTCAGGAGCTCCGGTGTTCTGTACCTGCTGAAACATACCTGTCTGCAGGTGTGAGTGCTCTTCCTGGTGGGCTGAAGTTTGCAGACAGCGCTGGAGCGTTTCACTATGAGGAGAGCGGGAAGCTGCTGTCAGTCACCAGCAACAGGTTCATCCACTGGTGAGTAAAACAAGCATCCACAAACCTGCTGTATAGAAGTGCATGGGCTCGTGTTGACTCGGTGACTCGTTGCAGGTCCACGTCTGGAGACTCGGTGCAGTTGGTGGAACAGTCTCTGGACACCAACCTGCTCAACAACTCAGTCAAACTCAAGTTCAGCCACTGCACAGTTTTACCTGGAGGAGTCTCCATCCAGGAGACGCTCAGCAACGTTGTCGTCCTAATCTGCACCAATCAGAGCGTCCACAGGCTGGTGCTGCCGCATCCGACACGCATGTACCGCAGCGTGAGTCCTCTAACGTTCATCAGACACGCATGTACCGCAGCGTGAGACCTTTATTGTTGCCGATTGGTTTTGTTTTGACAGATGATCAGTGTTAAGTTAAACCTTTTTCACATCCTTCAAACTCTGAAAAGTCTAAACAGGAGTCAGACTTTGTAAACGTTAAGAGTGCATCCACGATAGGACCAGGCGGGGGTGGCACAAGCCATCTCACCGATTTCAATGAAACTTTGCCAGTTTAAAGGGATCCACCCAAAACTACTTCAGTCTAAGTTTAAGGACATTTGGTCAAACTGGGGGGATTTCACCAGCCCTCCTTGTTGTTTTTGCAAAAATGACCAAAAATTGCCTAAAAAAATGTTCAGAAGTATAAAGCTCTACTGGTGTAAGAATTCAACCAAATCTTTTCATATGTTCAGTGAATGTTCTCCTACCCAAGGACAATCTATTGTCAACGTTTGGTTCTCCTACGACCAGTTCCATCACACAAATCATGTCAGCCAAGACCGCCTCTCTCACCCAACAGTGAAAACTGTTAAAATACCCAAAGTTTAGGCCAAAATATCTCCA